GGACAAATGCGGGGCGGGGCCGAGACTGGGGCTGTGGCTCAGCAGTAAACGCATTTGCCTAGCACATGAGAGGCCAAGGGTTCAATCCTCACAGAAAAATAAATAAAATAAAGGTATTGTGTCCAACTACAACTAAAAAATAAATATTAAAAATCAGCGTCAGAATGAACAGTACTTCTGCCTCATTGATGATGCTGAGCTGGTTCCTGCACCTCTCAAGGGCAGTCTTTGGTTTGTATAGTGAATATCAGACAGGATGGCCTTTAGGGATGTCCTGCTCTGATATTATAGAATTCTGTCTGTGTCTCTTCATCCTGGTCACTCCCTGACTCACTCTATCCAGATTTTGCACTTTTTTAAAATCCTTATGGGAGCTGGACCATCCCCCTGACTCCCAGGAAAGCAACTCTGCCTATCATTTGTTCACTTACTCATTCTTTTATTTTTAAATTTGTTCATAGAGAATTGCTTATGCATTCATTTAATTGATCATTTAACCATTCATGTATTCATTCTGTAAACACTCCTGGACCAGCACTGACTGGGGACTGACCTGTGAGGATGGATCCCTGGCGGTGAGCCACTGTCTCCAACTTTTCCACGCCAATTAAAATCTCTAAGTAGATTGTGTAATTGGGTCTTTGGGACATCATCCCTGAAGCACCCCCAAAGTTTCTAAACTGGGCACATTTCTGCTTCTCCTCATAAATTGCCTTGAGAATTGAGCAGTCCCTTGGTACACAGAGAGCTTTGAAAAGTGCCACCTTCATTTGGCCTGCCTGCTCCCCCACACTGTCCGTTAGCCAGGATGGAGCTGGAAGCTGCCCAGGCCAGGGACTTCCTGCTTCCTACAGAAACTATTGCAGACTGTTCAGCCCTGAGCCCACCAGAGTTCTACTGTATCTGACACACACCAAATTCTAAGCACTTGGAATAATTCTGCTCAATTCTAAAAGCTTCACTTAATTAAATCCACTTTCAAATGCTTCACTGAATTTCATGAGAGTAAATTTTCTGTTTTGGAATCTTGGCTGAAGTATACCCACCATAATCCTCTGCACAGAAGAGGCTCAGGCCAATTTCATTGACCTGTGACCCCCTAGGGCTAGTCAGAGACTCTAGTCTCAAACCTTCAGAAACATCTTCCAGGTAACCAGGGACACAGACCCAAAAGAGCCTGAAGGTAAGTGGGAAATGGGGAAGTGCAGGTAGAGGAAGCAGTCAGGATTCTGAGGAATAACTGGGACCTTGGCTTCCATTCCCACTCACTGTGTTACTCTGTGTAAGCACCTTCCTCTCTCTGGGCCTGGGTCTTCATGTACAACAAGGGGGTAGTTCAGCTAATCCATACAACCCCTCCCAGCTTTGCCAGAGGGTCATCCAAGCTGGGAGAAACCCATGTTTGGAAGCCATCTACCCATTCAGTTTACCCCAGTCCCTGGAAGTCATTACAAGACTGGAAGAAATTGGCTGTGGCCAAGCTGGTGCCCTCAATGTGGCCTCTAGAACCTGAGAGAGGAGAAAAAGGAGATGACAGCCCAGTGGGCTGGTAGGAGTGGGCAACAGGCAGAAAGAGAGTGAGAGAGGCAAGCAGCAGCCTAAAAGTACAAATGCAAGACCATGGAGCCCAAAGGAGAGGGAGGACTCCTTATTGGGTCTCAGAGTGACCTCCCAGTTCACACTCCCCCTGACAACTCTAGACACAGTCTGGTTGAGGCCAGACCTTCCACCTGAGGCCTAGGACTATATCAGAGATCTCTTTTGCTGCAGAAATGGCCCTTAATTCCCAAAGGTAAGGTTCAGGGTATAGGGATACATTCTGAACCTTGTGACTTATCATGTGAGAGGAAGGAGTATTCACGGGGGCCACCTTGCCTGGTCACCTGACAGGCAGGAGAGTCCCACTGTACCCTTCAGGTGGTGTGTTAGCAAAAGAAAAGAAGAAATGGGCTTCCCATTACTAGGGGTGTGCAAAAAGAAGCAGGGTGAGGCCAAACCTGGGAAAATAGAGGGAATTTCTTCCTGGAAAGTATTTGGATTCAGTGACCTGGGACAATACTTGTCCTGACTTATCCCCTAATGCCTGGCACATAATAGTTCATCAGTTACTTCTTGATTTGGGAATGAATAAACAAGGGAAGGATGAAAATAGGAAAACATTGCACGCAAGTGAGGCAGAGCAGAACCTCCCCGCCCAAGGCTTTGGCCAAGGGTCTCATAGGGTCAAAGGCACCATGCCAGGTGCTCTGAAAGGTTGAGGAGAGATTGAGTAATGCTGCTTAGCAGGTGAGTAGATTGTGGGGAGGACATTGGAGAACGACCATCATCTAGAACCATAGGCTTTTGGGGTTTGATGGGAGCAACTGTCCCCTCTAAACATGGTGTTGTGGTCATAATGTTGGGAGGGCTGTATTTGAGATTCACTTCACCAGAGACTGACCGTACAACCTCAGTTTCCCGACCTATACCAGGGAGGGCCAAGTTGACCTCTCAGTGTATTTCCATGGGGACATCCTCAGAGTACACACAGACAAGCAGCCCTGGCTCTGGCCCAGAGGAAATAGGGATTTGGGGGTAGGTCAGGAGGTCTTGTTAAATTTTAGCTAGAAAGCCCACAATGAAGGCAGATTCTGAAGGGCTAACACATACAAAGTAAATGACAAAGCAGGCCCTGTGGGGACAGGTGGATGTGTCCACTGATAGACTTAGAGGCCAGCAGCCCCACTGAAGCAAGTCACAATGTACAATTTGTACATGGAAACCTCAGTACCTGAAGACTAGACCCACTGCTGCAACTGAGGGATAAAGGATGTTGCAGACCATAGGAACAGTGTAAGCAATGGCTCAGAGGTTGCCTGAAAACCAAGAGGACCTTCAGAGACCATCTAGCCAAGGGGTTGTCAAGTGTGGTACCTGTGCCAGCAGCATCGCTCACACCTACTCAGTCAGAACCTCTGGAAGGGAGTGGTGTCAACAACGTGTATTTTAACAAACTTTCCAGGTGATTCTAGTGTTCGTTCAAGTTGCAGCCTCTGGGTTCCCAAAGTATGTTCACAAACATTTATCTACAGCAGATTAATGAGTGTTTTGAAATGGGTATCCAGGGTCAAATCAGCTTGGAGAGCACAAGTTCTACACTGCATTTGGAGGATGCTGAATTACATTAGCATATCAAAGGTTTCCTATAAAGAGCTTTGTTTGTTTTCATTAATCCAGCCTGACCTCAAGGTGATTTTTAAGATTGCCCACCCCCACTTCCATGCACACTCTCTTAGGGAATCACTGTTCTGAATCCTAATTTTTCAGATAGGTAAACTGAGGTCTACAGAGGGTGGGGGGATTGCCCCAAAGTCACAGAGAGTGTATCTGAGAGCAGAAGACCCTAGCAATCCACCCCATCCCACAACAGGCTCCGTGAGCTCCCACTACATGTACCCTCTCTCCTTCCATCCCAGCTGTGTGGCCTACCCACATGGAGTCTGTCAACAGGACCGTGGTCTCTCAGTTCTTCCTGAAGGGATTTTCTGGCTACCCAGTCCTGGAGCATCTGCTCTTCCCACTCTGCTTAGCCATGTACCTGGTGACCCTGCTGGGGAACACGGCCATTGTGGCAGTGAGCATCCTCGACGCCCGCCTGTACACACCCATGTACTTCTTCCTGGGCAACCTCTCCATCCTGGACATCTGCTACACATCCACCTTTGTGCCTCTGATGCTGGTTCACCTCCTGTCATCTCAGAAGACCATCTCCTTTATTGGCTGTGCCATCCAGATGTGTCTGAGTCTGTCCACGGGCTCCACAGAGTGCCTGCTGCTTGCCATCATGGCCTATGACCGCTGTCTGGCCATTTGCCGACCACTCAGGTACCCCGTGCTCATGAGTCCCCGGCTCTGCTTGCTGCTGGCGGGAGCTGCCTGGGTGCTCTGCCTCCTCAAGTCAGTGACTGAAACAGTCATCGCCATGAGGCTGCCATTCTGTGGCCACCACATGGTTAGTCACTTCACCTGTGAGATCCTGGCAGTGCTGAAGTTGGCCTGTGGTGACACGTCAGTCAGCGAGGCCTTCCTGCTAGTGGGTGCCATCCTGCTGCTGCCTGTGCCCCTGACCTTTATCTGCCTGTCCTACATGCTAATCCTGTCCACCATCTTGAGGGTACCCTCAGCTGCCGGCCGCCGCAAAGCCTTCTCCACCTGCTCAGCACACCTGGCTGTGGTGTTGCTTTTCTATGGCACTGTCATCTTCATGTACATGAAACCCAAGAGCAAGGAGGCCCGCATCTCTGATGAGGTCTTCACAGTCCTCTATGCTGTGGTCACACCCATGCTTAACCCCGTCATCTACAGCCTACGGAACAAGGAGGTGAAGGAGGCTGTCAGGACAGTGTGGGGCAGGAGAAAGGCCTGTAGGTGAGAAAGGGAAGGGCTCTGCGTGGCCGAGGGGTTCGGTGTCATGGTGAGGTTACTGTATACCAATGGCAATATGGGGCAGGGCATAGGGTTACATGTGCCCTCATCCTAGGATGGAAGCACCAAGTCCCACTAATCCTGCCACAGAATAGATCACAAACACTCTTTGCTCCTTGCCTTGCTATGGTCCCAGGCTTTCACTCAGCCTTTACAACCTACTGTCTGGTCTTAAGACTTTTGTCTTATTCCTCCTCTAATCTGTCCTCATTTGGGCATCCAGAGAGCAAATGGGATCATATCACTCTTCTGATGGACACCTGGGATAGGCCTTCAGGATATTGGGGGTGCTCTTCAAGGCCCTCACAGCTGACCCCACCTGATGTAGCTCCCTAGCCTTGCACCCCACAGTCTCCCACCTCACAGCCATACACCAGGTAAATGTGAGCCTTGCCCTTCCTTGCTCTCCCCAACTCGGAGCTCTTTTTGGGTTCTCCCCATAAGGCAGCCTCCCCCAGCACACACTACACATATAAATGGACTGCCTGGCCCTTCAGGCTCAGCC